CATTATTAAAAAGAAGGAGAAGCCGTGCAGGCAAATCAGGGACTTTGACGTTTTTCAGAGCCATAAATCAGCAGAGCCCAACCAGGTCATGCGCCATTTAGCACATTTACACCTTCTTGCTATTTGGGTCAGTTCTGCCACCGCCCCTCTTCCTTTCTTGAGTGTCCCAAAGCCGACTCCCTCTTTCGCTTCCATGCAGTGAGGAACACTGTGGATTTGGACCAAAACGTATTCAAGGGTTTTCACTTTGTTTGCTTGTGGAACTGAAGGGAGTGTGCAATGAATTCAACAGGGACATTCAGAAAGCATGCTTCACCTCTCACCAAACATTAAAGCAGCCACGTCTTTCAGATGGATTACACAGTTGCTTCAAAGGCTGTCCTTGGCCATCTCCACCTGGGTCTGCTTGCTCAGCCACTTGGATCTGCAGCTGATCCCAGCAGAAATGCTGTCTCTGAGGGTGCATGCAGTCCGGGACAGCCTTCAAATCAGCTGGGTGTGCCTTCCGGAGGTAGCTGGTTTCATGATTCAAGAAGGGGAATTTCACTTGTGTCAATACACTTTCTGAAGCACCCTGCTGCTCTCAAATGTTCAGTGCCATCATCTGAAGTGGAGGCAACATGTATCTATCAGAGATTAGAGTGCAACTTGGATCTATTTTAATCATGGGACAAATGGGTGATTCAACGGCCAAATGTCACTTCTCATCTCCTGACGAAGAATGACCAAGATTTGCAATGTGCTACGGCCAATTTAAACTGATTAGTGAACTTGGTGCAATCTGCTTGGTGGGTAGCTAGTTCTCTGAATGGGAGTAAATTCTGCTTAAAGCTTCTCAGGATAGTTCCAAGACAGGGGATAGGGCAGCAACTTAGCCCACCGTGCCTAATCTCAACCACTAGGAAGGATCAGATGCGGTTATTCCTTGGACTGGAGACTACTAGGAAATTCCAGGGATGCAGACTTGACTTGAGTACTCAAGAAGCACCCTCTTCTGCATTCCCCTGAAGTCAACTGGGACTGAGCTCAACTCAAAGAAGAGTCTATCTTTACTGCAGGGTCAGTCAACCTTTTCCTGTTCAAGGCAGGACAAAAACTCAGTTAGATGAAATCCAGTCATCATATACAGTCTCTACGAATGCTGTCCATCTTTTTTATAACTGTGCCCTTCTGCCTCATTCATCATTACAATTCAACAGGAATGCTTTTCTATCATCTACAATCAGTGCAACCCAGGGGGGCCCAGACTACACAGGACAGACCTTTGCTTATTCGAGATTTGTTGATTTTAGATGACAGACTCCACAAGTTGGTAATTATGTAAAAGAAGACAATATCCATTCCACCGTTACTGCTGTATCTCCCTTCAGAGATCTCTGAGGATTTTGACTTCTGAAGAGTCAACATAACTATCCACAGAAAAAATCTCAATCTAATTCCTCTGAATCTGTGTTGCAGAAGTGGTTTAAAGAGGAAGATTTCAGGACTTCACTGGGTGAAGTTAAGGCAAGTGCCGTGGCCCTCAAGATTTCCTCGGAGGCAGAAAGTTCAGCTCCAGCTTCCTGCTGTGGGTCTCTGCTGCCTTGCTACTGAGTCAGGTTGATGAGCCCTTGTCTGCAGGTGAATTCAGCCTCTCTTTGGCTAGAAGATCTGTGGGAAACATCACAGGGGCAAGTAAAAGATGGAGTGGGTGAGCTTCCGAGAAACAGAACCCAGGATGTGGGAGGGAAGGAAGCAGGATAAATGCTTTGGGAAAATAATTCCCTGTCAATGCAGGGTCACAGACTGAGGATCTTAGGAGGGGACAGGAACAAAGGGGCAGCTGGCATGGAAAAATGCCCTAATTATTTGGGGGAGGAGGCCACTTGCTTGCCCCCACTTTTTTCCTTAAGGACCTCAAAAGTTGGTCTTTCGGTTTAGATATTAGCACAGTTTCTGATCCATCAATGTGCAGTTCATCTCAGTGCTCCTTCAATTGAAACAAGTCAACTTCAAACCACTCAGGTATCATCGCAAGCTATATTCTTTGGAATTCCGGCTTCATGTGACTGAGGAAATGCTGGTTCAGATCACTGCCATTGTAACTGTGATTATCAGTTAGATTAATATCTTGTCTTTTCTCCAAGAACTCCAAGCAGCTTAAATGGGGATGATTTTCCTTCATTTTATCTCCACAACAACAACCCTACTGAGAGGGCGTCCAATCCAATGTCACCCAGTGGGTTTCATGGCTAAGAAAGGGTGGATTTGAACCTGGGTCTCCTCAGTCCTAGTCTAACAACTTAACCACTGCT